AGTTCAACTATGTTTTATGTAACGAAACCGAGTGTCCGGATACTTATGGACGGTAGTGTATCTACTGTAAGTCACAGAAAAATTAATTTCTAATAATTTAAAAAACGAACCTTAATTCTAAAATTTCGTAAGCTTAAACAGACTTTCAGTTTTCATATATTTATTTTATAAATTTATTAACAATTATTCCACATCTCCATGTCATCTTTACGAATTACGAATCTCCGGTATAAATAGTAACGGACTTAAAATTATCATTCATTCCATCCCTAATTACAATTATAACAAGACTCGTTACACTTAAAGAATAATCGTAACAACAGATTTCAAGGAAGCAACGTTGTTACGAAACGTCATAGGAATACCACCATGAAAATTCTTGGTTCGCCATACAACAGGCACTTAATCGTCGATCGATGGGACGTGAAGGTTTCACGGTAGGTTGCGTACTTATGAACTAAATTTAGAAACTATACAACGAAATAACAAACATAACGGAACCTAGAATACTAAATTAGGAATTGACTATTCTATAATTATGTTAATTAGTTGCTTCAGTAAGCTTAATACTGGCGGTAGGACGATCGTTTCCTGCTTGTCGGCGGCGGGCTTCTTACGGGGAGGCCTCGGGCGTATGGTTTGTGTGCGTTTGTTGATAGATAGTAGATGCCTCGTGCTCTGAAAACATTTCGAATTTACCTAAGTTACTTCAGGTGTTTTTATTAAATAAATTTGAGATTTGAAAATCTTTTAATTTTGGTTTTCTATTTTAACACTTTCAAGCTTGCAATTCCTATGTTTTTCAATTTCCATCCCTAAAAATATTCTAGTTATATTTTCAAGTTTCCAAACTTTCGAATGTCGCAAATTTAGTTTAAAATTTTCACATTATTAAATTTCCAAATTTCCCAATTTCCAAATTCCCAAAATATCAAATTACCCAATTTCCCTACTTCTGCTCCTAAATGTTCAGATTCCCAATTGCTCCAATTTCCATTTCCAATTTTCCAATTTTCTAATTTTCCCAAATTCCAAATTTCCAAATTTCCGAAGTTCCAAATTCTCCAATTTCTAAATTTCTAAAATTCCAAATTTTCCAAATTCCCAAATTCCCAAATTCCCAATCAAGTGACGGATACTTATGGACGGTGGTGCATATCTGTAACTACATCTATATTAAAATCTATATACATATGTATATACACATATTGTGCATCCATAATTTACATCTGTATTCATATCTCATTCATTTTTAACATTGCCATTCCATTACCCGTAACATATTATTAGAACAAAAATATCTAGCAAACGATAGAAATTTTCTGAACACGACCCCAATTTTCCATCATTTTATTCAACGTGACTATATGTGAAGCAAGCGACCGAAGTATATTACGAAAAAGAATGTGATCCATTTTCCCACGAAGTTTAGTACGCCACGAAGATCGGAAGATCCTTTCTCATCTGGTGGGTCTTAATCGGGAAGTCTCGTGGTATCTCTAATTTACATCCGGTGTCTCTGTCGCGGTTAAAAAAGCTCGTCGGTCGCCGGAAGACGAATCGAGCGGCTCTGTAATTATTCGAAGAAAAGAAGAAACGTTGGACGGGTCAGGGCCGCGTGGATGGTTGATATTTTTTTAAGAGACGGACGACGAGGTAGGAAACGAAAGAGGAGAAACTCGACGTCGGAGACGAAGCAGCTGGTGGGAATGCTTTATTGCGTGCAGAGATAATGGGGACGATGCGGGTTCCGCTTGAATTTCCGCCTCCAGAATCGCATCCACCGTGAATCCAACTGTTCGTTGTTTTATAGATACCTTATCAAGGATTCTTCTAATTCTCTGGCGAACATCAGGGCACTTTTCATTCGACGTTATCTGTGGTGAAAAGACGGAGAATCTGCTCGTCGTTAACACAGTTAACTTACATTTCATATTCTTGTAGAAATGCCCGTATTTGATTAATATGACGCTGCTATTTCATTATCTTAATAACAGCGATAAAACAGTCAAAGTGAAAAAAGAATTTGTTAGCACATTGTTCTGTGACATAACTATGATTAAATAACTGAATTTAGTAGATTTTAAAAACTAACAAGGTAACAAATATAAACGTTAAAATTTAAACGAGTCAATTTACCGTAACTTTACCTTGGTTCACCTCTCCTCACTTAATCTAACTTAACCTTAGATCTATTAAGCTAGTCTAATAGATCTAAGCTATCCTAATAGAGTTGAATGAAAACCTAACATAATCTAACCTTGTACACAATGTTCTCGTTTAAGATAATTACCCCTAGCCGAAATTAGATTAGATTTAAAATCCGAGCAAGAATTAATAGATAGAATGATTAAATTTCAGGATAGATTATAGCAAGTTTTAAACAATTGATAAGTTTCAGTCTAAACTCCTACACGATATTTTAACAGTGTTATATCAATGGGTATCAATAACCTTGATATAAATCTAACGACACTTAATTTTTTTGCAATTATATGGACGTATGTTTAGTCGTAACAAGAGCGAATAAAAGCAGTTGTACCATTAACGATCCACTTGGTAAAACAATTTAACTTTTTACGCAGGCTGGGCCGAGACTTAACGAGCGGTTACGTGTTATTTGAATACACACGGTGCGCTGTTTATTTCTGCCCAGAGTCTGCCTCTTGTCTACGAAAGTACCGTGCTCAAATGAATTTTATTCTTGCGGTTTTAAATTGCTGCTCGACCCGCTGTCGCTTTGCATTAATTATTCGCAAAGAAGCAGGAAAGAATGAAAACGTATTCGGTGTCCAGGGTACGTTCGTGTTGCATAATCTAATGTGCATTAGGAGAATCGACCCTTGTTTATTAAACAAATTAGATTAATCTAAGTAGTGGTAAACATAATACACAGCTCAACCAAATTACTTTTCGAGACTTCAAAGTCGCTTGCTGTTTATCGATTTTAACTTCAAAGTAATTTAATCTGCGCAAGGTGCGCTGGCAGCTTAAAAATTCCGAAGACATTTTTAATACCAACAGCGTTGCTATGCCGTGGTTAAAAAGGAGGAATAAATGAAAAGTGGTTCCGAATTTTCTAAACGTCCCCTTTGCGGAACTACGTTAGAACGCAACGGAGTTAATGAAAATTTGAGGAATTTGCGTCTTCATAAATTTTAAGTCTCAAATGGATTCACCGAACCGTTTATGAGTTATAGCGGTTTTAATATTCCTTAATTTTGCGCCAGTTCCTGTGACGCATCGTTATTAAATGCAACGGAGACATTGAAAAAGTGCGACAGCTTTTTTCAAATTCTCTGTATAACTCTGGATCAGCATAAATGTACAAAACTTCATTAATCATGAATTATTTTTGCAGAATTTTCTCCTTACGAAGTTAATCAAATATGTAAATTGTTGCAACAGTAGCAAATTGTGACTAACAATAAATATTTTATTCTAATTATACTTAGATTCATATTTGTGCAAGAAACAAAGATATTAATGAAAGAACAGTTTCCGGTAAAGTCTTCTGATTCTTAAAGTTGCGAAATAATGAATTTCTTTCAGTTCCGATTTAATTTTCAATTTTGTTCGCGGTAGAGGTTGCTCATTAGTGGTTCAAGAGATAATTACAGCAACGGAAACAAACACATTCACCGGATGTCGGGTGATTTCTCCGGTGTTCCGAGTTTGTTGTTCGCGAAACGACAGAACATACACGCGTTACGATGTATCCTATGCAATTATCGTCCGCGAGAACGACGTACGTCGGCCATTAGAGTTGCCGTTTAAATTGTATTAATTTCTGACAAGCCATCGGACGATGGCCGAACTTGCAATTACCGTAATTGAAACGCTCGTCGAGGGACGATCAACGTGGTAGGCACAGCATGTACGGGTATATCGATACAGTATGGCCGACAACTCGCGAATGCAAATATTTTAAGGCGACAGCTGTTGCTCGAGTGTCGCTCATTAAGCAGAAGCACCAGCTTCAGAATTTCCTTTCGGCTCAAGGGACATCAGCGAAATTCCGCTGTTTCGCGATTACCGTTATACACGCTTCGCGAACACCACCCAACGGCACTTCCATTTATCGCCGAAGACAGGTTAGGTAGCGGTGACTTCTGCGATTGTCTGTGGATCGGAAGTAAAACGAAATCTTGATTCTTTTTGGAGAAAAGTTCGGAGATCGTTGGGATTGCGAAATGTTATTTGATGGGATTGGGAACTGATTTTCAATTACAATCATTTTCAAGCGGTAGTTTCGGGAGTGTCGCGTGTGGGTTTTGCGAATAGTCATTGAAGACTTCGTTTAAGAATGATTTAGGGGTAGTACTGAATAAAAAGACACTGTGAATCTTTAATGATAATTAAAGGCTACTTACAAGGAATCGATGAACTAACAGGCAATTAATACATGTAGCCAATAACAAAATTATGGTTTGATGATCTCCCAAGATCGATAGACTTACAAGTAACTGTTTGTCTATTCTGATGCAGCTTTGTCAGGTGAAAATGAGCAACACATTTCTTGATAGCCTAATCGCAAGTTAAGGGGGTGAAATCACCTCCTGAAGTTTCAGCAGAAAAATGCTATCTCGAAAGCTATCGTAGAGATAAGAAAACTTCTTCAGGAAAAGTTTCATGGTCTCTTGAGGTAAAATAGAAAGTGGTCACAGATTTCGTAAAAAGTAATCTGCTCATAACAACAAAATTGTTACATTATTTTAAGAGATACAATAATTATTCAGAAATTGTTTTCTGAAGCTATTGTATACAGCAGACTTTCCTCCTACAGATTTGTAAATCATTTAGTGAGCTATTATTATGTGTACATTGAAATCAGAAACCAGTTTCACCAGAAATCAGTTTCATTAAAATCAGAACCAGTTCGGTATGTTTATCGATCTTGGGTCTTTTCCATAACAGGTATAAAGAATTCTTGCACATGTTTTCCTGTCTGACATATAAATTGCAAGAAGATCGAAAAAGAGTAAGGATTTCCGAAACGACCAATCGGCATTTCGATCCTATTTAAAGACAAGGTTAAGTTCAGTAGTCATCAGAAGTAGCGAGTAAGGGTATCTCAGTTCCCTCGCGATTCCTACGCGTTCTCGTTAAATGAAGCTTCAACGGCGACAAAGGATAGTTAAAAGCGAAACATAGTGACGTAAAAGCCGTTCTAACGAGTACAATTCAATTGACACTAGCGAGCACAATCAAAGGATGTCGCTGTTAAGTTCTCTGGTTAATTTTATCGTCCCGTTAAGTTTGGCTGTTCCGAACTCCGTGGCGAGTCTATGCACTGGAAATTTCTTCCAATCGTATCGGCCCTGCTTAAATGATCCGTGTAATACTCGTAACGTGACTTGTGGAAACGGTTTCATATGCAATTTAGGGCTGCGTGGTGTGTCTACACGCGATGATTATTATTACACGCCTGGAATCGGTTCGCATAAACTTCATACTAGAGCATTGACGTGGAATGAAGCGAGGAAAGTGTGCAACGAGGAGGGTGGCCATTTGGCAATCATCAACTCTATTGCGGAAGCGCACGTAGGTTTTATTATATTTTTTATGATTTCTCAAAAATGATTTCGATAAGATTGAAATTATACTTTGCGGCAAATATTGCTAATGTTCGAACTCCAAACTATACTCGAATTTAATACCGAATGCACTCTATTCTTTCATTTCCGAAAGCATTTTAAACTCTACAAGATCTTCCCCGCGATTCAGCTTAAATTAATTTCAAACTTTATTGCTTCCACATTTCCATACCCACACGTTTTGCAAATGAGTCCAAACCGAATGGCACTCATATTTCTTTGCACAAAATGAGTGGAATATCTCGAGCGTCTGCAGGAAAAAACCAACAAACCGGCTTGGACATTTAACCTCGTCAGAACCGGCTGATTAAAAATCAAACCGTACAAAGCAGTCCAAACAGCATTTTATATCGGATGACTGTTTCGCGGGTGATAGGTTAGAATGATTCGGTGTCCCATAGTTCGGGGGATTAATTCGTTATCCATCGTAATAGGACCGCTTCACAATTCAATTTTATTCGTATTACCCACGGGAGAGGACGCGTTTTATTTCACGATCGCGCGTCAGGCTTGAATTAACCGTGTCACTGGCAATTTATATTCCCGCTCTTTGATCCATCGAAAGGCACACCATTAGCGTTCGCGAAATGGCACCCGTTGAAAGAGCGATTTATGGTGGTCCCGATTAAAAGCAGCCCGATAGCGTCACTTACGCTCGATCCCACCCTCTCTTCTTTCATCGTCCGCTTTTTTTTCAGGTATTAATGGATATATTTAATCGATCGAGCCCGGTGAAAGGTTCCGACGTCACCGGCCAAGCCTACATAGGTACACACGATTTATATGCGGAGGGCGATTGGACCACTATTCTTGGAGATTCGTTGGCGAAAACTGGATATACCGAATGGAGCGACAAGTATAATGGACAGCCGGATAATACAGGCGGTGTACAAAACTGCGGTTCAATCTTCAGGGATGGAAAGATGGACGATATAAGATGCGACTTACCGCATGCCTTCTTCTGCGAACTATCTTGCTCGTCGCTTCTTTAATTACTTTTACGAAACTCTGGTGCAAACGGATGCAAGGATTCTTGTTTCTTCTAAAGGACTTCGATTTTTTCAGCAATTATGGCGATATGTACATCACGACTTGTACTTAATAAAAGGAAGTGACTGTTCGGTAAAACGGTATGACAATATATATGTTTCTACTACTTTTTTTAACGAGCTTCTTCTTCCTGTGTAAAGAAGTATTGGCAATATTTAAAAAACCATTTCGTGTGATATCTCATACTTTTGACAAGTTGATCGTTACGGTAGATTTGCACTTGTACACAATGCATGTATTGTATCAATTATTTACGATGAGCTTATTTTGATGGATGGTTTGCATGTAAGCCAATAGTATGACCACTTGTCCGGTTATAATTTTTACTCATAAAAGAAGTGTTTGTATTACTTTGAAATATTTGTAGCTTTTATGACTGAAAATTTTTTATATGTTTTGTCAATATATGTATAAGATTCTGATTAACCAGTTGACGAATTTAGTTTCAACCAGTTGGAATTTAGTTTCAAAAGGTCACTACAGGGTGCGGAATTAAAAACAAGGAACGACGTGTATACACGTCGAACGCAGGGCAAATGGTACTATTATACATTTTACGAAAATCCAGGAAGGATTACATTTTTATTCGTCAAAAAAATTAACAATTCGTTTCTGAATACATTATTCTTATTAAAAGCTTGAAAATTGTTAAGAAATAATACTATACGTAAACGAGTCTTGTGTAAAAATGTATAAGACTTTACCTCACAAAGCAACGTGCCATTATTGGCCCTGCTAACTGCTGACGCGGTTTCTCCGCAAATCAACGCTGGCCGTCCAAGTCGCGGGTTAGGTATGTGATTAGTTTTGATACGCGAGCCCCAATCCATATGAAATATTAGGTCTACCGGAAAGTTCTGTCCGTTTTTAGAATTAACCTAACCATTCTAAAACGGACAGAACTTTCCCGTAGACCTAATACGTAGCGGTCGTATTGGTAATGTAAAGGGAACATACCACCAAATAATATTCTTATTACATTTTATTGAGATTTCGAGTTTTTATAGTGAATGGTAATTTTTTATTTTACACGACGAGTATACACGTTAAACGCACCGCAGTAGAGATTTGGTCTGACGTGTATACACGTCGAACGCACTCAACTGGTTAATGTTATATTCTGACTGAATGAATGTCCCTTTTACCATCCACTTTGTATAACATTTAGCGAACTATTCAACAAGTATTTATACAAGAAAAGATATAATATATACTTCAATTGTAACATGTTCTTAACAGTTGCAATTTTCCTAAAAAAAAAAAGATATTGTGAATTATTTATTTCAACAAACATGAACATAAGAAAATTTATTATATAACTAATAGTAAGTACTGACAAGTAATTTATATTTCCACATATTACGTTAGCAATCTACGGTACATTTACACTTTCATCCTCCTAAAAATATTGCAAAAGGTTACGACGCGTTGTTTTACGATGCGTTACGTTGTAACACGTACAAAGTAACAACCTACCAATTCAGTCGTCAGCGAGAAGAATCCAATGTTTTCAACTTTTCCTTTTCACACGTGCGTTACATCACCCCGTTGGTTATTGCATTTCGAGTTATTACGCTCCACGTCGAAAAGAAAAATCGAAAGAAGACATTTCTTTCGTGACACGCGGTGAATCTTCAACCATATGGTCCAGAGAAATTAGGATTTTCTTGCTATATAGTTCTCGATGTACTCTGCTTGGATCTCTATTGCTTCAAATTGAAAGCTCATTTTCAAATTTTTATCATTCCCAATTTTTCTAATCGTGGAATTTTTATATTATTGAATTGTACAAGGTAGATGTTCAAGTTTTCAAATTTCCAAATTTTCAAATCTTCAAATGCTCAAATTTTCAAATCACCAAATCTTCGAATCCCCAAATTCCCAAGTTTTCAAATCCTCAAATCTTCAAGCTTCCAAATTTTACATTTTCCAAATTTCCAAATACTCAAATTTTTAGATCCCCAAATTCTCAAATTCCAAACTCCGTAAATTCTTAAATTTCCCAATTCTAAATTTCGTACCAACCAATTCCCACAATATAAACCTAAATTAAAAACTCGGGGTCATCTGCCTTATAAAAAATATAAAGGGTTGATGACAGCCGCCTCGCACGAACAGATCCCACAAAAAAACTCATAGAACTTTTACCGTGGAGAATTGTCTAAGCTATAAATTTCATAATGACTATTTCTGTCGTAAAGGAGACAGTTAACGCGACATTCCTATTTTACCTCCGCCTGGGTCTATAATTTATAGGAGAGGTCATTGCGAGAGGCCTCTGACATATTACCGAAGACGTCAAAACAAAGGTAAGAATTATTCCCCAGATCGATCGTGCTTTCGTGTAATTTTGCTGGTCAACGTACTCAGGTATCGAATTGTTCGAAAACACAGTCAATAAATTGTACGCGTATTCACGGACGTCTATAAATTGGTCGTGTATCAAGCGATTTTTATTTCAACCCCATCGCTATCTATCTTCGTCGTTAATACGATTTTTCCAACCCCTTCGTCCCTCCTTTCGTTTTTCGAGCCCCTCTTCCCGCTGCTTTTTCTTTCCTCGTGTTATTTTCTTTTTATTTCCTGCCACGCCACGCCCCGATGTTCGCTATCCTCTCGAAGTATTTTTAATGGCGTTTCCACCTACAGGACGAGACGGAAACTGGTTCTTGAGTGCTTCCAGTGTACTGCAAACAACTCGGAAACAAGAGCACAAAAGAACGGAACAAGGCTAGATCGACACACGGCGTATCGACGTTATTTCTACCGGACATTATCGGTCTCGTATTTTTACCTGATCCAATGAAGGATAAAAGAAGTAGAAAAAAAAGGAAGAGAGCATTGAAAGATTGATGGGCTTAATCTCGACGTTCTCTCGATTCTTTGACAAAAATCCATTTATTCTTCGTTCGATCTCTGTTGGAGATAACAGTTTCTAGCAACGCCATCCAAATATTTCTTTTTGCGCAATTTTGATTACGATCGGTGATGGGTAGATCGAGAGAGTCGGAGGGCAGCTGATATACGTGGCGCGTAATGAGGTGTGAAGCGGAGAATATGCAGTGCGGAATTATCTCTTTCGATGTGTAAGATTTTTCTTGAATTTCGAGTTTGGGAACTTGGAAATTTGAAAGGTGAACAATTTGGGAAATTAGGTAACCTAGAGATTTGGGAATTTGGAAATTTGAAAGGTGAATAATTTGGGAAATTAGGTAACCTAGAAATTTGGGAATCTGGGGATGTGGGAGTATAAGAATATTGAAATCTGAGGATATTTCTATATCCGGAATACATTAACAACAAGAAACGTAGAAATTCCAGACTTTCATCTTTTTTAAGTTTTTCTAACAATTTAGAAAATGCAGAAAATTTATAACGTAGAAGTTTTTTCGTTAATTTAATAAATCCAAAAACGCAGAAATTTAAATTCCCAAATTAATATTCCAATATTTCGAATTAGAAGTGCCTAATGGCGTCAAGTACATGCACCTCATGCACATGCCAGCGCGGTTGATTCACGGGCACAGTCGGCTATATTAAAGGAGCAAGGTAGTAAGGTAGCCAAGTTTCATCGATTTTATTGTACCGACGAAACAAGGAAATGAAGTTAGTGAACAGTTGGGTCGAGATAACATTTATTTCTCGAAAGGAGCATCGATATCGCGGAATAGGGGGTTAGAGGAGGGGGGCGGCAGCGATGTCGCAGAATTGGAAAACGCGACACGCTCCAACCTCAAACTTTACGTTTCGCACACGGAAACAGTTGGTAACCAAGAAAAATTTTCGGAATCCTCTTCTATCTTGAAGCTTTATCGATCGATAAATCAAACTTCCTGAAAACGAGCGAACTTGTCGAAGGAGGCGTGAAACGTACGGGACGAAGAGCAACGATGTCCTCGTTGACTGTGGTGCACGATTCGCGGTTGGTTCTATTGGAGATTATAGTGGAAAACGTGAGTAATTAATTCATTACTGTCTCATTCTTCATTCCTTTCAAACATCTTACAAATATTATTCGAGCAGAAAAAAAATTCGTATTTATTTTTATAACTGTAACCCTTAAATTACCTTTCTGATCCATTATATTGATAATTCGGTCGTTTCTATCAATCTGAGAACCGATTTAATCGCTAAAAATCTGCACGTAGAATTATCTATATAATTGTATGTTCCGATATGAAAGGGTGTAAGTATGAAAGGGTACAATCGTTGTTTGATACATAATCGTGTTAGATAAACGTAACGCGACCGTTCGGTACTCGTTTTACGAGCAAGCTTTATCTAGACCGTGCGTTGCTCGTGAAATTCTTAAAGTTATCTTAACGCACGTTTCGTGAGGCACGTAACATTGGCGCGAACTCCCAGTCACGTAAGAATAAAACGATGCATCACCTTATATTAAAAAATATTACCTTACTCACCCTCGAGATTTTTTCTCCTTAAAATCTGTATTTCGAGATAACGGAACGAGGGAAACTAGGTCTCATCTTGCAAACTATTAAAACTTTTCAAAGCTCTGTTTAAACTTCTTCGAGAAGAAGTAAAACAATTTTATTAGCACATATTATTATTTCATAATTTGGGAATCTGGGGATGTGGGAGTATAAGAATATTGAAATCTGAGGATATTTCTATATCCGGAATACATTAACAACAAGAAACGTAGAAATTCCAGACTTTCATCTTTTTTAAGTTTTTCTAACAATTTAGAAAATGCAGAAAATTTATAACGTAGAAGTTTTTTCGTTAATTTAATAAATCCAAAAACGCAGAAATTTAAATTCCCAAATTAATATTCCAATATTTCGAATTAGAAGTGCCTAATGGCGTCAAGTACATGCACCTCATGCACATGCCAGCGCGGTTGATTCACGGGCACAGTCGGCTATATTAAAGGAGCAAGGTAGTAAGGTAGCCAAGTTTCATCGATTTTATTGTACCGACGAAACAAGGAAATGAAGTTAGTGAACAGTTGGGTCGAGATAACATTTATTTCTCGAAAGGAGCATCGATATCGCGGAATAGGGGGTTAGAGGAGGGGGGCGGCAGCGATGTCGCAGAATTGGAAAACGCGACACGCTCCAACCTCAAACTTTACGTTTCGCACACGGAAACAGTTGGTAACCAAGAAAAATTTTCGGAATCCTCTTCTATCTTGAAGCTTTATCGATCGATAAATCAAACTTCCTGAAAACGAGCGAACTTGTCGAAGGAGGCGTGAAACGTACGGGACGAAGAGCAACGATGTCCTCGTTGACTGTGGTGCACGATTCGCGGTTGGTTCTATTGGAGATTATAGTGGAAAACGTGAGTAATTAATTCATTACTGTCTCATTCTTCATTCCTTTCAAACATCTTACAAATATTATTCGAGCAGAAAAAAAATTCGTATTTATTTTTATAACTGTAACCCTTAAATTACCTTTCTGATCCATTATATTGATAATTCGGTCGTTTCTATCAATCTGAGAACCGATTTAATCGCTAAAAATCTGCACGTAGAATTATCTATATAATTGTATGTTCCGATATGAAAGGGTGTAAGTATGAAAGGGTACAATCGTTGTTTGATACATAATCGTGTTAGATAAACGTAACGCGACCGTTCGGTACTCGTTTTACGAGCAAGCTTTATCTAGACCGTGCGTTGCTCGTGAAATTCTTAAAGTTATCTTAACGCACGTTTCGTGAGGCACGTAACATTGGCGCGAACTCCCAGTCACGTAAGAATAAAACGATGCATCACCTTATATTAAAAAATATTACCTTACTCACCCTCGAGATTTTTTCTCCTTAAAATCTGTATTTCGAGATAACGGAACGAGGGAAACTAGGTCTCATCTTGCAAACTATTAAAACTTTTCAAAGCTCTGTTTAAACTTCTTCGAGAAGAAGTAAAACAATTTTATTAGCACATATTATTATTTCATTTGCACATAATCCATAGTCATAGCCATTACGATAACAACTTTCGTCATTTTCATAATTCGATAACGATTGTTTTTCTTCTTCCACATCTGATATTAACAATTCATACTTTCAGCGATTCGAAAAATAATTAGACAGATTTTCTTGATAAAAAATAATTAGTCGAATTTCGTGTTAGGGAATGTTACATAATTCTCAATGCACAAAATTTTCAAATCATCAATTCTTTAAATTTGAAAAGTTCCAAGATAGCGTCGCGTAAAATGGCGACTCGGTCTATCGCCACGAGTCGAATATTTTTACATGCGATGTAAAAATGATGTTTTACATGTATGATGTTTTCCACGTTAGTTATACATGCCATGGAAGGGAATATTCGACGCAGCACTAATGAAGAAGACGGTGATAATGTTTCGTATGTTGGACGAGGAATGGACAAGTTTGATGCCCAATCGGCAGGACTACCGTTCCTACCGTGGCTCCAATTACGAGAATGAACGTTTCTACGGCGGTAGATCCGTGCTGTTTGCAGTACCGGAAGAGACATTTGAGAAGGACGTATCCGGCGTGGACCTACAGTTATACGTATCCAAGGAGGTATCCAAGTATTTCGAATTGGAACGACGGCAGAACTTCGGGTTCACCCTCGTCAAGATGGACGATCTGCTTAACGGTATTATAAAGGACCTCCGTGAACGGAAGGAGCTTGGAGGTTATTTTTCTAGCGCACTGGAGCGAGAACCTATATCAAGGTGAATGCATTTGAATACGCGAACCTGGCGTTTATGCAAATACACGGACGAAACCGATTACCCCAACGGCGAACGTTATCCGTCCGGGTTAATGTAATTTAGAAAACCGCTGCGCCAAGTACCAAATCTGAACGTTCGTTTGTATCGAAAACTCACGGCGAGATCGGATCTGTATCGCTGAAAATTTGTTCGGGGTTAACGAACAAAATTGTCTCCTCTGTTACCGCGTTACGTTGCACGGATCTATTCCAGTCGCAATGGTCAGGGAAATTTATGGAAATAGAAGTGAAGATTCAAAAAAGGGAAAATCTAACAAATCCGTTCGAATAGGACCATCAGAAGTTTCGCGTACGATGAGATTTTTTCCACTGATACCATTCCATCTGAAAATATATACTGTACAAATATTTCATTTTTACTGATATTTTCGAGTATTTGCAATATAAACTGTAACCGGGAAAAATGTTGGAATATAAGGATATTTGAGAAATTTAGGAATATTTGGACTTAAATAGTCGAATCTTGTGATACTTTGGGATTGGAACCTCAGAGAAATTTTGATTATTATGACCTAGCACAAGGTTATTAATATCTAGGGTATAATTATCAATTTATTAGAACAAATTAAAACAGCCACTTTAATCGTTTAGATCGACGCGTGGAACGTTTCCCCTGTTCGACGAGGATGTAAATAAAACCGACGCGACCATCGAGGTGTACGTGCGGATCAGTTTCCTAGGAAAATGCATCATCACCGAGGTGTACGCTCCCATAAGCACGAAAAAAGCGTTTTATGCACGCGAGGAGACGGACCCACGTTATCCGTATCAGTTCCGCGAATTAACCACGATGGACGTTGAGTCCTTCTGCTGGGGTAGTTTGACTATTATACCTCCGGTCCACCCAGACTATCTGACTTGCGCTTGCAAGACGGAACCAGAATGTTTAGAAAGCGCGACACAGACCAAGAAGAAGAAAAGGAAACAGAAAGCGACCCTCAGGGAGATGTACATGGCCCGACTAGCACTCGTGCAAGAATTATTGGCCAAAATGAAGGAAGCCAGGAGGAATAGACCACAAATCATGCAACACGGAGAAGGACCCAAAGCAGTTTGTCCAACTTGTATTTGTCCAGAGGTGAGCATATTTTTGCTAAAGATTATTGAAAACGGGTGTGAAATTAAATGGAGATTTATTTCGCTCGACGGTCATAAATACAGTATCAACTTATTCAAAGTACAGTAACTGGAATTTTAATAAAAACAATAATTCAACGAGATATTGGAAATAATGTACAATAATTAAAGTAGAATTACCTTAATTAAGAAAATACAGTATCATAATGTGTTAATAACGTATTCTATATTTGTATAAAATATTGACTGGAAACGTATTTATTTTGTATTTCGAATATCGTTTCATTCAGGTCTGCAGTCCATCCGCTCCAGTGTCTTGTATTTACACTATGCCGCCCAGCTCTTGTTCCTCTCCTTGTCAACCGACCGTTTACTGTCTACCAAACGCCACGTGACCCCGCAGGTAAAATTTGCATACGAAGGGGAACCACGGAATGCCGCTGAAAGATATCCGGAGGCGTTACGTCGTCTAAATCCAGTCGAACTTTTACCATTGTTCCAGGCTGGCTTTTCTCGAGGTAATCACGGGTACCGTGTCCCATCGTGTTTTATGATCCATTCGTCCCTTACGATTGGACGATTTCCCAAATTGCCTGGCGAAATTTTATGCACGGGAGGGGTTGGCTCGGAGGAGTGGCTCGTGCGAGCACGGCCGAACTCCCCGTTGACTTCGCCGAGGCAGAATTACTTAGCCTGTTCATAAGAATGGGATTCGAGCAGTAAAATTTTTTTATTTCTGCATTCGGGTATTTGGGGATTTGAGAACTCGAGAACTTTTGGAGTTGAGGACTTCCGAATTTCTGGAGTTATTTATTTGTGAATTGAGGGACTTTGATTTGGAGATTTGGCGAGTTTGGACAGTAAGGATTTGGGGATCTGGGAAGTTGGAAATATAGGGATTTGGAGATGCGGGAATTTAGGGAGCTAGGTATTTTAGGATCTGAGTGTTTGGGGAGTTAGATATTTTTGGATTTAGAGATTTGGGGGTGGAGGAGTTTAGGTATTGGGGGATGTGGAGATGTAGGTATTTGGAGATTGAGATATTTGGGGATCTGGGTATTTGGGGATCTGGGTATTTGGGGATCTGGGTATTTGGGGATCTGGGTATTTGGGGATCTGGGTATATGGGAATCTAGGTAGTTGGGGATCTAGGTATTTGGGGATCTAGGTGGTTAGAGATGTAGGGATTTGGGGGGCTAGGTATGGGGGGCTAGGTATTTGGGGATCTAGGTATTGGGGGCTAGGTATTTGGGGATTTAGGTATTGGAGGCTAGGTATTTGGGGATCTAGGTACTTGGTGATCTAGGTAGTTAGAGATGTAGGGATTTGGGGATCTAGGTATTGGGGGCTAGGTATTTGGGGATCTAGGTATTGGGGGCTAGGTATTTGGGGATTTAGGTATTGGAGGCTAGGTATTTGGGGATCTAGGTACTTGGTGATCTAGGTAGTTAGAGATGTAGAGATTTGGGGATCTAGGTATTGGGGGCTAGGTATTTGAGGATCTAGGTATTGGGGGGTCTAGGTGGGTAGTGATGTAGGGATTTGGAGATCTGACCAGGGGGTCAAGATATATAAAAATGTAGGGGTTGGAGGCCCAGAGACCTAGGAAATAAGTGTTCAGGGATCTGGATATTTGTGGCTCTGGGTATTATGAGGTTAAGCTATTTAAAAATGTAGGATTTGGAGACCCAGAGACCTAGGGTATAGGTGTTCAGGGAAAATCTAGTCATTTAGAGATCTAGGTGGTGAGAGATGTAGGGATTTGGAGATCTAGGTATTGGGGGCTAGGTATTTGAGGATCTAGGTATTGGGGGCTAGGTATTTGAGGATCTAGTCATTTAGAGGTCTAGGTGGGTAGTGATGTAGGGATTTGGAGATCTGACCAGGGGGTCAAGATATATAAAAATGTAGGGGTTGGAGGCCCAGAGACCTAGGAAATAAGTGTTCAGGGATCTGGATATTTGTGGCTCTGGGTATTATGAGGTTAAGCTATTTAAAAATGTAGGATTTGGAGACCCAGAGACCTAGGGTATAGGTGTTCAGGGATCTGGGTATTAAAAGGTTAAGCTATTTAAAGATGTAGGAATTGGAGACATAGAGGCTTGGGATATTTGGGCATCCATGTATTTAGCAATCTGTGGATTTGAACACATACGGATTTGAAAATCAGAAGATCCTTGAATATACGAATATACAAATCTAAGGATCGCGAGATTTACAGCGTCCTACATTTTGCAATTTAAGAATTCAGAAATTTGCAAATCTGAAAATTTATAGATATGAAAACTCAGAAATTTCAGAACATGGTATCTAGCAATTTGGGAACGAAGTTTGAAAATTTAAAAACTTCGGAATGCAGAAACGTAAGAAGAAAGAATTGCTTATTACTCGATGCCAGTAGAATTGCGTATTCCGTTCAGAGGAGGAGCATAAAAGTATGTAGGAGATTTATGGAGAGTAGGGGGTATATGCGGTCACAGGAACTCGTTACAGAGAATTTTCTTTCGCCGCGTATACGCGCGCACGTGTGTGCACCATCGGTGTACATGGAACACACGATAATCCGATTCCAAGACCGGCGGTTGCAAATTTGCCCCGAACGAACACCCTCGACCGTCTTCTGAGGAATTTCATGCAACGGGTCGCGCGCTTTTTCAACGCACGCGAGAAACTCGATATCCGCACTTCACGCTGCCGGATATTCCGATATTCCATGCAATTGAAAGCTGAACAGTTTTGCATTTTGATCGTGAATCACCCCTTCGCGTCACCCCGCAACGGAAATCGTCCCCATATGGGTTCTATGTATATAGGTAAGTACGCACGTACAGGGTGTCCGAGCTTGCATATGTCCAGCAACTGTGACATTTTATACTAAAATGTTTAGATTTAAAGAAAAACTACATATGAAAATGGTAGAAGATAACTTCTATATTTTTATAATGATGAACATGAGATATTTTATTTCTTAAACGAAACATGTCATGTTTTATTTAAACTGAATATTGAATATTAAATTGAACTGGGAATACTCTGTATGAGAAGGTATAATATTCAAGAAATGAATGTTTCATCTAGATATAAAATATTAAAGATTAAAATACTATGTATAATAATTTCTTAGGAACAATTACACTTAATAATCAAATAAAAATTATTAGAATATTGAAAGAGTTGATATAAGCAAAAATAAATATGTTGTTTTAATAAAGAACACATGTACTGTTTAAAATGTTAATTTACAAGATTTGTTATATTTATTATAAATAATAGAATGGTTAGGTAAATTTGATGTATAAATTTTGTTTGAAATAGGGGAAGATATAAGAGAAGAGTTAAGTTGGACACCCTATGTAGGTTCACGTATGGATTTCGATTTGCAGGCATAGGAGTATTTTATCATCTGTGGTATTATGCGAAGATTCGGATCTCGAGTGGGCGAAAATCGTTGATCGTAGGAGACGCACAAAATCGGAGGAACGTTTGCGAAAATGGAGTGAACGCCACCCTTCCTCGGTTCATAATTCTTCAGGATAACCCTCCACGTTTGAAATTTTACGGAATTTAACCGCAAAGAAAATATTTCTTTTTCACTTCACTCGACTCGTTTGGTTCGTAATTTTAACCAAAATTTAAAGATAATATTTGTTCACGAGATAAATTATACCACGTGATTAAGTCAGGCGAATAAATTAATGATTTCAAACTTACTCGGTGTGTATTTAATGCTTATCAATTTCAAATTCTTTTCATTTATAAATTTTTAATATTTTACATTTTCAAGGTTCCGAGTAGTTATTAAACATAAAACATTCGCAAAATCGTAAATTAAAAAATTTTAATATTACCAAATTCACATTCTATATCAGAAATATTAAATTTTTCTAATTTTCCAAATTCGCAAGTTGTGAAATACCTAAATCCTTAAATTCTAAAATGTTCAACCACCTGAATCTCCAAATTCTCAGCTGTCCAAATACCTGAATCCCCAAATTACCATCTATTCAAATACATAAATCCTTGCTTTCCAAGTCCAAAAAATTCATAACAACGAATTTATCGAATCTCTAAAACAAAAAGTCATAAAGTTTGAAAACCCACAAATGAACGGAGGATATTTGTTCAGTTTTTACCAGGAAATTTTCCATGGCAAAGGTCCATAGGGAAGTTTACTCTGCTATTACACATGACGTGACTGAGGATTAACAATGGTCGATATCGAAGTAAGTTGCATACGCGAAAGGCGAGGAGCAAGAAAAGGACTAATGGATATTATTGAATTACCAAATTCTTGCTAGAACTGATCGTAAATTACAACCGCGTTTCGCAGACATTGCACAAAAAACTCTGCATTTTCTTTCGCACGTGTCGCAACTATGCAACGACGGTGATCCCGAGAAAGTACCTCAAATTCGCACAAGTTTCAGACGGCAAAGAACCGTCACGTTTTATGCGAGAAAGTCTTAGCTAACCAAGCGTAATATTTGCCCCCGCGTTCGAGTTTAACGCGCATATACAAATAGAAGATTTACTTACTGAACTTCAACACGTAAACAAGTTTCTCATCCTTAATTTGCCTTTTCTCTCTTTTTTTTTTGCATTTCATTTTTATACTTCTTATTAAGGTAAATTATGTACCTACTTTGTCGGATTGCACAGCTTTGTATATTCTCATTGAAGTTTAGCATTTTTTAAATATATTGTTTTAGAATTTTAATTTTAAAGTGCATGAGATTTTTCGAATTTCTAAATGCATGAGATTTTTCAAATTTTAAAGTGCATGAGATTTTTCAAATTTTAAAGTGCATGAAATTTTTCAAATTTTAAAGTGCATGAGATTTTTCAAATTTCTAAATGCATGAAATTTTTCAAATTTCAAAATGTATGAGATTTTTCAAATTTCTAAATGCATGAAATTTTTCAAATTTCTAAATGCATGCAATTTTTCAAATTTCAAAATGCATGCAATTTTTCAAATTTTAAAGTGCATGCAATGTTTCAAATTTCTAAATGCATGAAATTTTTCAAATTTCAAAATGCATGAAATCTTTCAAATTTTAAAATGCATGAAATTTTTCAAATTTTAAAGTGCATGAGATTTTTTAAATTTTAAAGTGCATGAAATTTTTCAAATTTCTAAATGCATGAAATTTTTCAAATTTCAAAGTGTATGCAATTTTTTAAATTTCAAAATGTATACAATTTTTCAAATTTCTAAATGCATGAAATTTTTCAAAATTTAAAATGCACGCAATTTTTCAAATTTCTAAATGCATGCATTTTTTCAAATTTCTAAATGCATGAAATTTTTTAAATTTCTAAATGCATGAAACTTTTCAAATTTCAAAATGCATGCAATTTTTCAAATTTCTAAATGTATGAGATTTTTCAAATTTCTAAATGCATGAAATTTTTCAAATTTTAAAATGCATGCAATTTTTCAAATTTCTAAATGCATGCAATTTTTCAAATTTCAAATGCATGCAATTTTTCAAATTTCTAAATGCACGAAATTTTTAGAATTTGAAAGTGCATGAAATTTTTCAAGCTTCAAAATGCATGCAATATCTAAAATTTCCAAAAATCTCATCATATTTAATATAGATCAGTACATAAATAAGAAACAAGTTCTCAAAGAAAATCTTATCTTAATGAAAACATGTACTCTAACCAGAACAAGATTCATGTAATTACCGCGTAGAAATATTATAATCGCAATGCATATGGTAATTTGACAACGGTTATAATGAATTGTTTCCGCTGCAATACTTACGGAACGTTTTGTAAACTAACGTCTGCACCGTCAGCAAAGCGTGTAAACTTTAAACGATGCTCGTAAAACACTCGCGTTAGAAAATATACGGT